TTGGGGGGGGGAGGGGGGGGGTGCGAGAAACGCCACTGTGTGATTGTATGTTCTATTTAATTATCCTTCTTAGGAAGCCTGCCAATGAGATGGAATTCTTCATTTGGCCTCATATTAGTCAAGTGTGCCATTCGGTTAGACAATGCAAACAGAGACGCAATAGCGCCAATGTCCCAAGCATCTTCCCGATCAAATCCATGCTTCTCAAGAGCTTCAAAATGGGCCTCAGTCACAGTCTGTGATTTGCAGACTACCATTGCAAACTGTAACATAGCTCTTTGCCGATCATCAATGTCAGAACATTTCCAATTTACTGCAACCTGAAATAATAAAACATAAAAACTATAAATACAATAGTATGCAATTATTTTCACGTTGTAAGGGCGCCATTGGAAATTAGTGGACGCAGGAACCATTATCTCCTCTGATCAGGAGGACCATTTCCCAACAGTTGTGCCAAACTGGTGAACGATCATACCCATGCCAGCACTATCAGACCCAACTTGTGGACATTCAGTTTCCTCTTTTTAGAACAGGGGCTGCTATTTTGTTGAGTTTCTTTTGCAGCCACTGTCCAATTAACATTCTGCACATTAAACAAATTATAAATAATATTTACATTTTAATTCAGAATGCTTGGTCACTTACCTGGTCGGCAATAACAGGATTTTTTGAAAATATTCTGTGCAAAGCACCATGGGATACAACACAGTACTGACAGTTGTTGTACGAACTTGTTGCCACCACAATTAATTCACGGTCAGCTTTTGTTAATGAGCCGGTTTCTTTCATCATCAATGCATCGTAATAATCAAAGAAGGCGCGGAATTCAGCTGGTCGGTGAGCCAAAGCTTTGAACACATTCGGTATAAATTTAGTCTGGATAATGAAAGAAATATAATTAACGGACGCTTACAAAAACACTTCCACACAAAAACACTTGAATCCTGTCAAGAATGTCACCATTACCATTCTGTTGCTCTACCAACCAAGCCATGAATGAGGACAAGCTGGTAACTCCCTTAGATTTTCCCTGTAAGCCGGTTTTTCACAAGGCAAAATTATTTGCTCAAAGCCAAAGTGTTTAACCGTATGCACACACAGTTTAATTGTCTTGTTTTTTCGCTTGTGGTGGTCACTTTAGGGAATCTTGGAATTTGCAGTTTCTACTGTTTTCGAAAAATAATGCACAAACAATCAGAGCTTGGGAATAGATTCTATGGTGCCAATTAGTACAGAATCAAATTGATGATTGTAAGCATCACCATGAGACGTCAGCACACGAATGCCAACACCGCAGCAATGTATGTGAAAAATGCGTACAAGTCTTGAAATGGGGGAGGGGGTGGCCTGATGGGTTCACAAAGGTGAAGTGATTATAATCGATGATTAGATGGTGATTTGAGGTGATTTTTTTTAACTTACTGTACTACTACTTGAGCATGCTTTTTTGCTTAAAATATTTTCAATGGGGAGGTATTTTTTTTTGGAGGGGGCATGTTCTCCCACCCATGTGCACCCCTGGCATTTTCCCCTCCGTCGGACAGGCATGGACCCCCTGTCGTCCGACACACAAATAGGTCATCGAATCATAAATAAAAGAAACAATAATTTGCCATATAATGTTATTTTGACTGCCAATCCCTAATACTGTGGTCTAAAAGCGCATTTTGGACCATACAAAGCCATAAAAACTCTCCCCGCGAACCTTACAAGGGAGTTTCTATTGCAGGCCGTCGACCAGACTTCGTTGGCGCCTTGGCTTGGACCCCTTGTCGGCAAATTTCTGGCGCCACCCCTGCCATGCTGCATTTCTGGCCATTAACAGAACTGGTCCATGGCACCCGGCTTTTGGAAAATACCCGGGTTATACATCCTGCTGGTTTGTTGAATAGCAAAGGGTTCTTAAATATTTATTGTCACTGAAGCCCATGAGATGAAGTGAGTGATTGTTGTCTACATTCCAATGGCTATGGCTACGGTCACATTAGAGTTTCAAGCCTGGCTTGACTCACCGCGGGTGAGATTTTCGTAATGTGACCGCATCTGCACCGACTCGTGCCTGACGTGACCTCGATCTCAATCTACCTATCTCGATCCCGGCTCAGCACCCATATTGACCCTGGATTGACCCTGGTGTGACCAAGATTGACATTTCCTCGTCGGCTGTCGACCAATCACAGTCGATGACGCCGTTGCTTTTAGAAGTTCTTGAATTAAAAACCCGCGAGTTCTTCATGCGTGTTCAATCAAGACGCAATCATTACTTTTCATAAAAGTTAATGCGATTGATTTGGAGCGACCAGGAAAATGCTGACCTGGTAGATTTGTGGGGCCAACCCGAGCTGAGAGACCGGATAGAAAATAAAAAAACAAAACCGGAATTTTTGGCATGCTTGCTGACAGATTAGCCAGTCTCGGACATGAGAAGAGAACGACGATCCAAATTCAAACAAAAGTGAAGGCATTGCAAGCCCAATACAAGCTGATAAAAGATCAGTTGAAGAAGAGTGGTTCGGGCACGTCTGGTGTAAAATCTTTGATTGCGATCCACCCAATCACACGCGCGTATATCGAATCCCGTGAAACAGAGTTGACGAAACTCTCTCTTTACGGCTCCGCTGTTTCGACTTTCATAATTTAGTGGTCAATTCAACTAGTGTGACCGACCCAGAATTTCGAGCCTGGCTTGAAATCTCAGCCGCGGTGAGTCAAGCCAGCCTTGAGACGCTAGTGTGACCGTAGCCTATATGTTGCTGGCAGGACTCTCTAATGCACATTCTTAAAACCAATTAAAGTTAAGTTTATGGCGCTGCTAACAGCTCCCTCTGGACCATTTGACAGCTCACTCTCAACTATCAGACAGCTCACTTAACTATGGACCATTTCTGCTAACGGGGACTTTTGCCTCATGGCCCCTGGGTATGCCACTGTAGATTGCTCAACTGTTATATATCTCTCACTTGAGTGTTAGGCAGGATATGGGTAAATGGATCTGTCAGATCACTAGGCTTACGGCTCTGCACTGTAGCTGCCAAAACTCTCTAGGGGCCCAGCTAAAATTTTCAACTACAATTTGTTTTAATTTACACGTCATTAAATTTTGTATGGAGAAACACTTACAATTTATATTATTACCACAGAAAATAATTATTGGCTGTGTTAATATAATATACATATATGAAGTGTATGTATATTTGGCTATATGATTATTAGTGAGGGTGCAAATTCAAGTTAAGCTGAGCTGGTAAAAAAAAAAAAATGTTTTTAAAAATTGGTATTGTATAAATTTATAATTTAATTTATTTACTTCTTTTATATTGTGTATCCACATTTTAAGTGGCTTTTGTGTATAAATTACCTTCTCCTCAACTTCATCCATTCTTGCCTGTATGTCTTCATCAAGATCTTCCTTTCTTGGGATTGGGTAACGGCTTATAGGTTTGCTACAAAAACCATCCCTTCTACTGACACTTAGGCATTGTATGGCTACAGTAGAGCCCCTATTCCAGCATCTATTCTGAAGAAGATATGCTACAATAATTAATCACTCAACGTATCACTATCTCATCATTCACTATTCATTCATTCATAAAAGACAACTTCTAGGCTAAATTCATTTTTTTTTTTTGGTGATGGTGGGCATGATCATTGCCTAGGAAATATAGAACTAGGTTTTCACTACAATATTATCAATGTTATTATCTAGAAGTCTTTTGATATGTTTTTTTGTGTAGGAAAATACAAGACATGTTAACTTAGCCTGGGAGGGACTTTTACAGATTAAGGGGGTCCAGACCACCTCAATTATTTTTTCTTTACATGATGAATGTACTATTTGTAATGAATTTGAAAATATCAACTATTACAAAATAATGAATATGTTCAATAGTTAATTGAAATATTGTAATTGTTTATAAAAGTGTAGCTGTTGTAATGAAATTAATTAATACTTATAATATATACTAGTACAGTATATTACTGATTTATTTGAATAAATGCCTCACTTAGAATAAATGTATCCTCAAGAACCTCATTTGGAATATACGCTTCCCTCAAAGAAATGCCCCGGGGTGTTTATTTTTTCCTCGAATGACAACCACCCCTACCCCACAACCCCCCTCCCCCCCCCCCAAATGACTGTAAACAAAACTAATGTAAGCAACATCATTCTCAACAAATTCTATTATTATTCTACTCAAGTAGATTACATTTTTTCTAACCTCTTAATCAATAAGTCTTTATGAAAATGCAATAGACATTTTAAAGGTAATTATTTGTTGTTGTTTCACATTTACACTGTGAAATTAAGGAGTGTATATTCGTATCCATTTTACACCAAAAAAATAAAAATAAAATAAACGCCTCCCTCAAAAATAAATGCTCCAGGGCGTTTATTCGAACAAATACGGTATAATATAAGTATTAAATTATGTATAAATAATAAAAAGTATATGTACAGTAGCCTTAATAACAACTCCCTGATATAAAAGCGCATTTCAAATCCATTAAGAGATATAAAGTACAATAAAGCGCCTGCTGTGTTGTACTTTATCATATGAGCTTAGGCCTGTATTTTCAATTCATTGAACATTGAACATTGAACTTACCAATTGGTAATTGAAATTGATACTACCGCAAATAACTCGTTTGATGATATGCAACATTTTTTGGTTGAACAAAATGTTGAATTCTAACTCAGCTCTTGGTGCATTGGTCTACACAGGCTAGAAAGAATAGGCCCAGTAAAAATTAGATTTTCGATTGACCATGACGTTGTTCTAAAATTCTAGGTGTTCGCCAAAGATACTAGAAATACAAGATAGAGTTCTCGCATTGTAAAAATGAGGGTAAGCGTTATATGGGCACCAGTTCCGTCAGGACTTGAGTCAAGTTAGCCAACAATAAGCCAGCCAACAACAAGCCAGCCCACAATTCTAGCCAACAATCCAGATAAGATACGATCGCGTTGGACTGCAGTTTCACTATTTACTTCACCGTGGGTGCGACGGCGAAGCACAGTTTTATTGACCACTGCTGAGGGAATAGAAGGTGTGGGGGTGGGTGGATGGGTAACATTAATATTATAAAAATTAGTGGATGGCGAGATAAGGGGAAGGGGTCGGGACGCGCGGACGGGACAATCGGAGGGGGGCTTGGGAACAATATTGTTCGAAAACGACAGATAGTTCCTAAAAATCACTTAGGCCTATGATTTATCCCCTCATTATTATTATCAAGGTTAAGCCTAGATAGGGACCGGAGCTCACGTTTTCCCCCACTTTTTTAGTTTTCACTCATTTTAACAGGCCTACTGGTCTGCGCAAGGGGTGTAAATGTAGATAATTATTGCTAACCTTTTTATAACTTTCACCACAACGAAGTTAGAGTACTGGGACCGGAGGCCCGTTTAATATCCCCCACCACATAAATTTTCCTCATTTTCGTACTGGTATGCGGGAGGGGTGTAAATATAGGTAACGATTCCTCGAAAACGGTAAATTGTTCCTGGAAATCCCATGGTGGCCGGGGGTTATGATGTGGTACCCCCTCATTCACCGCATCGAAGTTAGAGTGGGACCGGAGGTCCCTTTTAATACCCCCCACCAGTTTAATTTTCCTCATTTTCGTACTGGTATGTGGGAGGGGTGTAAATGTAGATAACGATTGCTCGAAAACGGCAGATTGTTCCTGGAAATCCCTTGGTGGGATTATGTTGTGACACCCCCTCATTCCCTGCATCAAAGGTAGAGTGGGACCGGAGGTCCTGTTTAATAGCCCCCACCACTTCAATTATTCGTCATTTTCGTACTAGTATGTGGGGGGAGGGGTGTAAATGTAGGTAACGATTGCTCGAAAAGGGAAGATTGTTCCTGAAAATCCCTTGGTGGGGTTATGATGTGATACCCCCTCATTCACCGCATCAAAGTTAGAGTGGGACCGGAGGTCACG